TGTAGACAACGGTTGACAGAGATGGTGCCACTGTGTGAAGAGAATGCTGGGTTAAATGGACCCTGGGGCTGCTCCAGCATGGATTTTTTCTATTCTTATATTCTAAATCATGATGGCTGAGGAAGGGAATGCATTATCCAGTTCGCATGTTTTTAAGGGCTGAAAAATGCCATTTTCCTGGGCGACAGCTATTCCATGTAACCACCATGTAGCAATGAAGTACTAACAAAAATAATCTGGAAAAGACCTAGAGGGAGAAAAATAGCAGTGCAAAAAGCTACTCACAATTTCTTTGGCATTCACCAGTTCTCTAGCAAGCAGAGACAGCATTACACTACAGTAATTTCATAAGAACAGGAAGGATACATTACTGTACTTTTAGCACACATTTTGAAAAAAATTGCTAATAAAAAGATTAAAAATCAGAAATGTCCCTGAACATGAGAGAAACTGGGGACATCCCTCTCTGACTTAACAGTGACTTATTCATACTGTCAATTTGGATGGATATGAATAATACTGTAATAAAAGTTCATTTTTCATATGCTTTTCTAAAGCCAAGACCAGATCCATTTTGACGAAAAGTGTGAGTAATATTAATTCATACACTTTCTAAATAAATACTTTGCATAAATACTGTTAGCATCTATTGACCTGCGTTACAGCATTACAGTTCCTCAAAACTGGATAGAACAAACCTGAAACAAAACTTCCAAATTCCCAGAAACACAACTTTCCTTAAATTGCATAGGCAGCTGACCCGGTCAAGATCTGCAAGCTTAAAATAAGACTTACCAGAAGTGTTTGGGTTTGAGGGCCAATGTAAGTGTGTCGCCACCATGGATATAGTGGGATTAAGTACTCATGCCTGCTGTCTGGGCTTAGGACTCTGAGCAGGTGGTTTTCAGAGAGTGCCTGAAATATCCTGCATATAGTCAGAAATAAAAATGCTGCTTCCAGGCTTGTTTTAAGAACAAAGAGATTAGCCATTTCCATGGCAAAAGATGCCTTGCAGGAAAGGAGATCCCTATTATCCCATCCAGAGTTTTTTGTTTTGTTTTGGTTTGGTTTGGTTTGGTTTGGGGTTTTTTTGGCAAGTAGAGAATTTTTTATACATTGCCCACTCAGACTGAATACCATTAACATGTGTTATATAGAATCTTTCTTCCCTTTGAATTAGCAAACCCAGTTTTTAAAATAAGCAATGTTTAGCTAATGACTTGCAATGTTGATGTCTAAGTTTATGTCTTGAATGGTGATACAAAATTTTGGACAGGCATCACTACACAAGGGAGAGATTGCATCTTAAACAAATGGAAAACACTGGGCAAGTGACTTAGAACTTTTCTATATGAGGACTTTGTGTCTGGAAAACCCAAATGGGTAGCCATTCCATTCCAACCAGACTGAGAGACATGCACTGGTGGAAAATTGTGCAAGCAAAGCTAGGAGTTCCTCCCCTTTTCCCCCTTGGTCACTAACACCTTGGCACAAACCAGAAGCCCTGGAACAGCCAGATACTTGAGCTTCAAAGTCTAATGAAGGGAAGGCTTGAACCACCCCTTCACTTCTCTAGGTTACTTTGCAGCAGAATGTGAGACTCACAAGACACCTTGCCTTGGTACAGGGATTCATACTCTATGACTGCAGAAACACCCACTTCACCTAATTTCTCTCTTTTGACAAACTTCAGGTAACTACAGACAGACATTTTCCAAGCAGGGCTCAGTCATTCCCTGCTTTGTACCAACATGTACTCACAGCTTCCTTCCCTGCAATACAGTCTTCATCCAATGGCTACATGCAAAGGAATGTGCATGCACACACGTGTGTGCATGGGGGGGATGTCTGTGTGGAGCTGTGTTGTTTCACAGCTGTTCTGATTGAGGAACAAGAACCTGGTAACCCGATGTTAACCTAGGAATAGTTTCATTGGTCCTGCAAACCTCTTATATCTAATGCCATTAAAAATATTATCTTGATGTTTCCTTTATGAATGACAACCTGCTGAAATTAAATATGTATCCCAAAGTCTGCCTATTCTTTTTAAAAATAAAACTCAAGTAAAATTAGGTGCTCGCAGTAGCACCTGATACAATATAGTTGTGATATATGTAATAAGGATGGAACAATAAAACATGAAAATATTACATCTCAGCGAATTATGTATATATCATACTAAATTACTAAATTCACCACACAGTGAAACATCTATATACGGGGCATGCCAAAAATGCATACACATTTTAAGAGATATTATCTATGCATTACTTTTCAACGCTGAATTGAATTACAGCAGCATTGTGTAGTATGACATTTGCTCAAAAGATATTAGTCAAATGAATGCTAGTGTCACCATGCAACATTTTTAATACAGTTTTTTCCTTTCTTAAATGTGCATATATTTTTGGGCACCCTCTGTATATTGTTAAGTGTAAGGGGACACTGGTAAAGTGGTGCTTGCATTTGTCTCAGAAAACCCCCTTCTGTACTACAATCTTCACAAAAGTTTTCCACAGGAAGCAATTTGTCACATTGATGTGACAGTACTAACCTACAAGATTTAGGGAAAACAAGCAAGGATTCCATTTTGTTTGGCAGCCATTAGCCAAACAATATTGCTAACTGTGTCTCCTTGTTTACTTTGCTGCTCATGCCATGGGAAGAGGATGTGGGCGCACAGAGAACATGCATTTCTTGTTTTATTAAGCCAGGACTTGCTTGTCCAGATGTGACCAAAGAGAATTAGAATGCGTTAGATACAATGCTTAAATATTTGTCTAACATAGCTATGACCAGAATCACACATTTTATTTATTACAGTAAACAGTAAGCAGCTACACTGCTTAGGGGCTACCCTAATTAGGGCCTTACTCCAGTGCAACACAAAAGGAGACGAGTGAAAGGGAAATGTGTTCCTTTACAAGAAGTCCTCTAAGGATTTTGATAATATATTAGTTAATCCCTTGCATACAAATGTTAGCTTGTATCAGAAGAAACCTGATATAATATTTCTAAGTGCTACAAACATAAAAAGAACTATGATATACAAAGTGCAATCCCATGCATGTTTAGACAGAAAAAGGGACTTAAGTCTTCCTTAGCTGAGAGGGACATGCTAGGAGTTGTAGACCTTTCTTCTGTTTAAACACGCATAGGAATGTCCCCATCAATTTTAAAAAATGGAAAAAAGGACTGCAGCACTAAGCAGCACTTCAGTATAATAACAGATACTTCTGCCTGTGCGCATATGTAACTTTTCTGATGAGACACCTCAGTATATAGGTTGCACCCCTTCAGCTTTCTTTCCTCTGCCATAGACCATTATTACAGCATTTCTAACATACTGTAATTTAAAAATCACCAATCTCTCCTGCCCTTCTCATCCCTTTGTATTCTTGGGTTTATGCCTGCAGTATGCATGCTATGTTAGATAAGGCAGTATTCTGGGGTATAACAACAGTTTTGAACTCACTGAAGATAATGCAGCTGAGAGAAGACCATGTTTCAACAGCCCTTTGAGAGAGTTTCACCATGTTGCCTAACATTACTAATTCCCTGGGTAGGCTTTCAAAAACATGAATAATTTGATAACTAACACACACACACACACACACACACACACACACACACACACGTACGTCACCCTATCACTCAACAAACCCATGTTGAGACTGATCAATGTTATATAGTTACCATAAAAATATTTCTTGTAGGAGAAAAAGGAAGGAACATTGTTTTACATTTATGTCTAGCAGCTATGCCTTCTTTCCCATTTTGATTCTAGAGTAGATGAAGAGTCTCGACCTGGTGCAAAATTCTCATGTGACAAAGAAAGGAGGCTTTTTAGACCCAGAATGTCCCAACACCCACTCTAGGCTGAACAGTTACACCTATACAGCAGCTAGACCCAGATTTAACATCATGCTTATTTTGGCATTTCCTCCAATGATGGAAGATTAATTTTACTTTTTCTCTGCTTTCTTGCCACACGAGGCACTTAGAAAAATATGGCCTTTAACCACTAATGAAGACAGATAAAAACTCAAGGGAAATAACAAATGCATGGAATCAGATTTGGAAATGACCAAAAGTCCATTAAATCCAATCCTCTGTCCAAACGCCAGAACCAACAATCCCCAACCAATTTGTTTCTGTCCCCTGTAGCTCACTCCAGGCACACTATGCCAGAACCCGAGGTCAGGTTTACAGCCTAGAGGTGTAGTGCTTGTCAGGCAAATTAACTCCAGATGAGGCTTGGATTATTGACCACCACATTTTCAATATTCATGATGTGGCTGCATACTTGTGACCAGAGCTGAATTGTATTTACAATCAATTTATAGTCTTCGTGTACTGTTATTTTTATATCACTTTTCAGCGAACACCCACAAGGCAGCATACAGCAACGATTTTAAACACACTAAAACAACACTGCAAACAAGAAAAACAACATTAGGAAGAAAACATGTACAGTCCATCAGAACAGCAAAATTATCAGAAAAGTACCAATTGCAGAGGCTAATTCTCCAAAGCCAAATAATACAACAGTGATTTTAATTGTTTCTGGAACAAAATAGCAGAAAGTACCAAACAAGTAGCTCATTAAACTAAAGAAGGAAAGAGGAAAAAATAGAGGAATGGAAAAATAATGGAATCAACTTTGGAAATGACCAAAAAGCCATGAGTTTCAGGTTGGACTCTCCGGAATAAATATAGTCCAATTTGGGGGCAGGTTCTGTATGAAGCAATATAGTGAACATCTCAGAAAAGGGGATATCTTTGGAAATTAAAGCTGTAATCCTAGACTCACTACAGTTCCATTGAACTACATATGATTTACTTCTGAGTAGTCATGTACAGGATTGCAGTGCAAATGTGTGCTCATTATCCCTTTCCAGGCAGAAAAATCTAAATTCCCAATATGCGAAGCAACATTCTTATCTGTGTTACCATTCAATTAGTTAATGGTGATGAGTTTTAAAGCCTGTTTCCCTTACCTTCATTATGAGGCTTTGATGCTCCTCAGATTGACTGAAGTTAGCGCCCATCTCAAATATACTCATAGTTCCTTCTTCACATAGATTTAGCCAGTTTTGGTATTCTCCATGTCCTGGAAGCCTATCCCAGAAAGTTTTGAAGACTTCCCATACTGCCTCCTGGCACACTTGAAAACAAGATAGATGTTGTCATCGTCATCATCATTGTCATCACCATCATCTTATTTACTACTAATGCAACCACTACCATTATTTCAACATCATAGGAAGTGCCCTGCTGGATGAAAGCAGCCATCCTGCAAGGGTAGGTAACCTTGTGCCCACCAGGTGTTTTGCACTACAACCTGCATATCATCTAGCCATTGGCCGTGCTGGTTGGACTTAGTCTAACATTTGCTATCGACAGGACTAGAAAAGGCCCAGATCTGGAAAGCCATACAAGGAAACATCCCTGCGCTGTCATGTGTCTCCCCCTTCTGATATTACACTGTGCTGTTCTTGTTGTTAACATGATGCTACAGCAGGAGCATGCTGCCTCTGAACATGGCTTTATAGTTGGATCTAATGATGGTATTGCAGGAGCGGGAGGCACTGCCTTGTCCTAGTTCTTGGTGACTTTCCCCAGATGTTATTGGGGTGGGGGTGATGTCAGTGCTCCTCTGTTCTTGAGCACTGGTAACAAGAGTCCTTGGTAACAAGAGCAGGACCCACTGAATTCAAGGGATAGAAATTGCCATCCATGCTAGCACAGGAACCCCTCTGTGACCCAGGCAAAGTAAAAGAAGGGACATACTGTTTTTACTTGCTTAGGAAAAGAAAGGACGAATTGGGGAAGGGATAAAGCTGCCTTAACTCAGTTTCTACATATCACAATATGGCAATCCATCCAGAACAGGGATGTCAGAGGGGCATAGGATTGTTTCTGTGAATGTCAGAAACAATCTGACATTCAAAAATACAGAAAAGTTCCTGGAAAGGTCTGACCTTGCACTATTCCCAAGAAAATTAGAAGGGGTGGCAACAGTGACAACACTTGGTTGCCTTTCTTTGGATATTGGCTATACTTAATTTCAAAGATAAGTAAGCATTTGTGATAACAACTTCCACAAAGGCAACCCTTAGTCAACTTTAAAATATAATGATACTGCTCATATTTTTCAGTCTGTCTACACAGATTTTGGGATTTCCCTTGCTTTTCCTAAAAGTAAAATGCTTTCAAACCATTTTGGTTAAAGCATATAAACATGTATTATACCTTACAGTCTACTTCAAGTCAGTCATGTCTTTTTATTTCTATTTTTCAGAGATTACTTTGTCATGCATCCAAGGCAGCTAATCAGATGCTTCATAAGATAAAGGGCAAAGGGTTATAAACTGCTATTTCCGCCAAGTGCCTCTTCCTCTCCTTGGAAGTAACAATACAACAATAATGAATTTAAATGATGGACAAGCTGTTGCTCTTTCATAACATCCAGCATTAGCCATCAGAGGCCACTATCTCACTCTGCTGAATAATAAAGGGATCACTTTTATGTCTATTTAAGAATGTCTGAAGCTATTCCTTCTTCCAGCATACCAACAGGATCACCTGAGATGGGTGTAAAGTGACTTTCTATGTTAGCTGAATAAACCTGTGGCTTTCTGCTTGTTAGTCATCCCTTTGTCAAAAGGCAGATAACAACAAATAGCTGAGTTGATGAAACTACCAAGAATGCTACATCACAGACAAATATGAGGCACATCTTGCATTTCGAAAGTACTGATGAATGGACTGGGGATTCATCACACTTAATGCTCAGCTGAGAACAGAGCCTCCAAACTTTCTTCCTGGCATAGTCTGGCATAGATGGTGCCAGGGTTCACCAATGAAGTTGAAACCAAAACATTTCAGTCCAATGGTCCTTGATCACATCTGCCTGAACATATTGTCCTCCTTTCTAATACTCCCACTTATGGGCTTTGCTTGATTTAGGTGTACTAGGAAGAAGCAAATGGTAAAAGAATTGAAGTTTGAAAGCTGAGGTTTGATATTGCCATGGAATTCATTTCTAAAAGCTATTTTTGAAAAGCATCCCATGAAGTTTTAAAGTTTTAAAAATCAAGCAAGTTTTAAAAGCAAGTTTTAAAAATGTTTAAAAATAGAAATGGTCAAATTCTGAAACCTTGCCTAATTTTAAAGTTGTCTGAACTTGCACGATTTTGTGGTATTCTGTTTTGTACTGATAAAGTTGTTGCCCAACTTCGTATTTTGGACTGCTTGCTTGCTTGCTCCCAGCAAAGCAGAATTAGCAGACACATGCTAACAGACAATGGAAAAACTTGGAGTAATTGGAAATGCCAATTAAAGGCAATTTTCTTTAATAGCAAGCAAATTTCTTATGAAGGACCCCTATTGTTTTCTGTAATGGCTTCAAGCTCCTAGTCCTCTTGATTATGGCACCTCTCTGATCATCTTCTTTTCATTAATGTTTCGTTTTTTAAGTAAGTTAGGCAAGGCTGTTGAGAATGCAAGCTGTTCCTTCCTCTAACTGCATCAATCAGCTCCTGCTAGCTTAAGGATTTAGTATCTGTCCTTCCAGTTAGTTAGTGTGACAGCCACCCCACTGAGTCCCGTCTCAAAAGCACAGTGCCATCTGTAAGTTCTTATTGCATTAACCAAACCTGTACTTAGGAAGGCAAGGCTTCCCATGTGGACAGAATGTATAAAGCTTTAGTAAGTCGATATACCTGCTGTTATCTCAGGCAAATCCACTAAAACCGAGGGCACATTTTTCAGCCCATGGAAAGAGTGCAAGGCCCAGCTTTTTGAGGACCTTCGGGTAAGAACCCCTCAATGAGCTCATTCCTCAGCATTTTTACCTTCCTGCCACCATTGTCACTGTTTTTCACCATTGCTCCTCAACCTCTTTCTCATCTTTGCTACTTCTTGCTTGCAGTACAGGCAGAGAACCTGTGAGCAAGTCTTCTGTGGCATCTATAGCTTCTCCTTCTCACCACCAACCTTGTCTCACCACCGGTGAAGAGGCCAGTGAAAAAACAAGTTGCAGCGCTGAAGGGAAGGAGCAACTCCAGAGGGCTCTTGTTAGGGGGGCAGCTGTGCCGGAGTGAGGGCCTATGGTGGATCCCCAGCCATGTCTACCTTTGATGCTCACACTGCACTGGAGAATGGAATGTATCAACCATTGAAATGCTCATTGTGCATAACTGGCAATATGAGCATGTTGAAAAACGAAGGAGCCCAGTGTTGAAATATTCCATCATGTGGTTGAAAGGAGGTAAATCATAAATTAGAAGTACAATAAAGCACCTGCCTGCTCATCTGCAGCTCACTCACAGCACAATCCTATACCTGTTTCTTCACAGAAAGCCTCATTCATGTGAGTGAGACTTATTCCTGGCTAGATGTGTATGAAATCATACAATCAGTCTCCTTATTCACATGCTACTGAATCTCAGGCTAAAGAAAGTTGAAGTGTACAATGAAAAGTGGGCCTTCTCTGTGGTGGCACCCACCTAATGGGATGCCCAACGCATGATATTTGGAAGCTCCAAATGGCATGCGTTGCAGATGGAACCAATTAAAGTTCCATCTCTTTACCTACACCTTCTCTTAAGGATATGTGTCCCCTAGTTTTTTGTCAGTTATGCTACTATATTTTCATTTTTTCAAAAAATGCATATTTTAACTGAGACACTGTAAAGGGCGAGATACAATTTTTTCAAAAAAACAATTAAATAAATAAATAGTCTCCTCCCCTCGCTGCCTCCTAGGACACCCCCTTTTCACCCTTTCTGATTTCCTGACTTTGGAGAGGCAACCAGCATGGTTCTTCTGGCACTTGCAAAGGGATGGAGAGGGACTGAAGCGCAGGTTCCCAGCTGCAGGGCTGGAGCTCTGTCTCCAACCTTTGATCTGGGGATCTTTTTGTATTTCCATTTTCTAGGGGCCATAGGACTGTTGTCCTGATGTATTTTGTTAACAGCTTAGAAATATGTTGTTAATTTCTATGCTGCTTACTAAATTTACACAAGCAAAAACATACCAGTCCAACTGCAAACACTTGTTGAGGCTAGACTAAAGGCACTGTAGACTTTGGACAGGTAGTTGGAGGGGTTTTTTTTAAGCTACATTAATTGTTGTAGTCTACAATAAACCTTTGAAACAGAACATTCTAATACCTGGTATGGAACTGTAGGCCAAAGGATGGAACCCAGTGCATTTAGGTGGATCTCTGTTTGGAATGCAAGCAGATGGAATCCAGGGATGGAGCTTAGCTAGCACACCCTTTTCTACCCAGCTGAAGTATTACAAACCCATCTGGTTATTGAAGTCTCCAGGACCCTTCTGAAAATACTCTTGCTTGCAGAGGACAAGAAAGGACTTGTAGGGAATGCATTCTTTTTAGAATTACACGTGGCCTTCTGGTTTTTAGAAGGGATGTGAAAACATTCTTCAGCGTATACCTTATATCATATAATTGTTTTAATGTTTTCAATGGCCTTGTGTTTTATGTTATTAAATTGCTATGCATCACTTTGATAGCTTTTCAGTAAAAAATGTTTATAAATATTAATAATGAATATGGGGGAGTCAGGGTGAATTTGATTTGCATACTGGTCTTTTAGTAATTGGGCTCAAAACAACCTGTGTAAAACATAATACCGTAAGATGACCATGTGCCTTAATTTACATAGGATAGACTTCTGTTTGAAGGGCTGTCAAGCAGATGGTCCAGTATGTGAAAGCATCCTCTGCTGAAAGGCTGCCCAGGCTAAAGGCAGTTTAAAGATAACCATGAAAGAAAAAAAGCAGCTCTGAACTGGAAGTTCCCCATCAACAGATGGCATCTTGACAGCAGATTGCATCTGGACACTGAGCAGACATAGAGGTCAACTGGTCTTGGTGATACGCACTGTGCATCTATTTTAATTATAGTAATAGTTTTTGAAGTTTCATATATGCACATAAATGCCTACATTTATGAAATCACTGTCATCCTTTGCTGACAATGCCCAAGTGGTACCTACAATGCTCTGGCTAGGTCATTGTTTTTCTTTCTTAGGTCGGTTAATAAACCTAAGATACTTTGCCATCACTATTTGTTGGTAATCAGAACTGAGCAGGGCTGTCATGGGTAAGATGTTCTGGGAGGCTTTCATTCACGGG